GAAGAGGAAGATGCTACAACTACTTTCGTTCACATCTCCAAGCGATCTTGCTTCCCTTTGCAGGGTCACCTTGCGTTCCTGACTCAGCAGGAGTGTCAACTCTCTAAGGCTGAGTGTTGGTTCCCTGGCTGTTCCTTCTTCACAAACCCACCTGCCCACCGGCAACCAGCGTGTAGCTACTCCAGCCACACCCACACCCACTCGTCCTTCCTCTTACCCAAGGGGCGCGGTGTGGGGAAACTGGCCTCATCACTCAGATAGTAAATGAAGGCCCGAGGGGGTGTGGCGAGCCAGTTCCCGTCACCCCAAGACCAAGCATCCTAAAGCCCTTCCTCCTCTGGTGGGAGCTGGACAGGGGAATGGGGGAGAGGGAAGGAATGAGACAAACAAGTCTCAAAACAACGAGCAAACAAAGGCACAAACCATTTCCAGCCCCACTCATTTCCTTCTCCCAGCAATGGGCCAACCATCCTGCACCAGATCGTCTACCCTAATGGTCTGGGAGTCTGGACCAGAGGGTGCAGGCTGGGGGGCCGACCCCATGTGTCCCGGCTGCACCATTCCCAGCTGTGACCTCCGCCTCCTCCACGCCGTCTGCCTCGACCTCGAGCTCATCCCGCTCTCTGGCTGTCCTAAGTGTGGTGGCTCGGGTCCTGCACTTTCTCTGGGTGATGTGGGAGGCCGCCCCTCTCAGAGCAGCCCCATCTGCCCTCTGGAGGTGATGGAACATGTCTGCAGCTCACCTGGACCAGACTCCCAACCTCCTGAACACATCAAACCCCTTGGTCGCCAGCTGCCCAAGGAAGCCTTCCTCCTCATCCAACTCCTGGGCCCCATCCGCTTGGTGGGTAAAGGTCCAGACAGGGAGCCCTTTATTCGTGGAGGTGTACACTTCTGAAGGACTGCTCCAGTGTCCCCCGAAGCCGCTTGGCTTTCTCCTGGCTCTACGTTCCCTGAAGTCATTCTCCACAGCCATCTGCAAGGCCGGCTGGGGACCCAAGCACGCCTGCGCATTGCGCATTTCCCCCCAGGCCTGCCGTCATCCGGCTGCGGACCCCACATATGGGGTATTTTAATAGTGTACTCACAGTGCAAAATTGAAGACTCGGAAATTGTTTAACGGTTCTTAGGGATGATGGAGCACTAACAGGAGTAGCATGTTTTTTTTTTTTTTAATGTTTATTTATTTTGAGAGACAGAGAAGGAGCAGGGGAAGAACAGAGAGAAAGACACAGAATCCGAAACAGGCTCCAGGCTCCGAGCTGTCAGTACAGAGCCCGACGCGGGGCTCGAACTCACAAACCGTGAGATCATGACCTGAGCCGAAGCCGGGCGCTCAGCCGACTGAGCCACCCAGGCGCCCCGCATCTTTTTAAAAAAAACTTGTTTTGGGGCGCCTGGGTGGCGCAGTCGGTTAGGCGTCCGACTTCAGCCAGGTCACGATCTCGCGGTCCGTGAGTTCGAGCCCCGCGTCAGGTTCTGGGCTGATGGCTCAGAGCCTGGAGCCTGTTTCCGATTCTGTGTCTCCCTCTCTCTCTGCCCCTCCCCCGTTCATGCTCTGTCTCTCTCTGTCCCCAAAATAAATAAACGTTGAAAAAAAATTTAAAAAAAAATTAAAAAAACTTGTTTAATGTTTATTTATGTATTTTGAGAGAGCGAGAGAGAGCAAGTGGGGAGGGGCAGAGAGAGAGGGTCAGACAGAATCCCAAGCAGGCTCTGCACCATCAGAATGGAGCCTGATGTTGGGCTTGAGCCCATAAGCCATGAGATCATGACCCGAGCCGAAGTCAAGAGTCGAGCGCTTAACTGACTGAGCCACCCAGGCGCCCCCAGGAATAGCATCTTAAAATCATATCTTTAATTTGATGGTCAGTGTTCCAGAAAAATGGTTTCAATGAGAAATATGCATATGAAAACTTGATTGGATTTTGTGTACCGGGTCCCAGTGCCATGCTAGAGGGAGAAAATCTAGCATTTCAGAGTTTTAGAAAACCTTCAGATGTTTTCATTGGATGCTTAGTCACTGTATTCAGTGATTTCTGGGTGATGCAAGAAAGTTGCAAACCAAGTAACTCACTTTAAATCTTCCCTTGATAAATGTTGTATTTACTAGCCTGTGTCAAATAAACAGCAGAGAGAATGAAACAAAGTATCTGAGAGAAGGGAGGGAAATAATGACAGCCGGATGAGGACTTGGATCTTGTTAGCCAGCCTGTTATTATCCTAGAATGACAAAGGAGTTAAAAAATTCTATCAGTCAGGGCGCCTGGCTGGCTCAGTCAGTGGAGCCTGCGACTCTTGATCTTGGGGTTGTGAGTTCAAGCTCCACGTTGGGTGCAGAGATGGCTTAAAAAATAAGATACGGGTGCCTGGGTGCCTCAGTCGGATAGGTGTCCAACTTCGGCTCAGGTCATGATCTCACACTTTGTGAGTTTGAACCCCGCATCTGGCTCTCTGCTGTCAGCACAGAACCTGCTTCAGATCCTCTGTACCCACCCGTCTCTGCCCCTCCCCCAAACTCTCTCTGAAATAAATAAACATTTGAAAAAGTCTTCAAAATAAAATAAAATACAGTAAATGCTATTGATCCTGCTCTACAGAGTTTGATAAAAATTGTAGAGTGGGAGTGGCTAAATAAATAATAAATACGTGGGAAAGTTTATGTGTTTGGGTTTAATAAGCGAAATTACGTATTATCTGTTATCTATTACAATAGAACACTCAGTACTTTACAAGATAGACTGATAGAGCTTGTATCTTACAAGCTGATAGATCAATTCAATGGTCCTCAAAGTGTGGACTCCTGAATATTTCTGACACTTTCAGGGGTTCTGTGAGATCCGACCGTGTATGTATTTTCTTAAAAACATGAAAATATGAGTTGCCTTTTATGTTGTATTAATATTGGCACTAAAGGCACAAACGTCCCTTTTCTTACTAAATTTGTTTCAGAAAACAGTTATTTTTCATAACAATATGTTTTTTATGTTCACTTATAATGGGCTCATTATTGTCTCTAAATAAATTAAGAATAAATCTATTTTGCATTTCTTAGTTTTAATTTTAATTTTATTGTTTTTAAAACAAGATTTTATTTTTAAGTTATCTCTGCACCCAGCATGGGGCTTGAACTCACAACCCCTGAGATCGAGAGTCGCTCACTCCACTGAATGAGCCAGCTAGGTGTCCCTTAGTTTTCATTTTTAATCCAGTAAATATGTTGGGTCTTGAAACTACACAGTTTGAGAACTGCTGGATTAATTAGGCACATGATAAAAATGATTAAACATACAAACCTGAGGAAGGGAATCTATGAAAGAAAAAGAGATATAGTATGCTATTAGAAATTTTAAAAAGGTATCAATTTCAAGGGAAAATTTTGATTGTTTAATTATGTAATAAGGAAATTAATGACACAAGTGAAAATTACAGTAAACTTTTAAATCTTTATTTATTTAAAAAATTTTTAAATGTTTATTTATTTTTGAGAGAGAGAGAAAGAGAGACAGAGCATGAGTGGGAGAGGGGCAGAGAGAGAGGGAGACCCAGAATCCAAAGCAAGCTTCAGGCTCCGAGCTGTCAGCACAGAGCCTGACACAGGGCTCGAACCCACGGACCACAAGATCATGACCTGAGCCGAAGTTGGACACTGACTGAGCCACCCAGGTGCTCCTAATTCTTTTCATTTTTTAAATTCTGAAACTTGTTCAAATGATGTTTTGGCGTCATGGATTGAGGATGAACAAAAAGTCCTAAAATTATGCCAACTGATGAAATAAGACGTACCAATAATTTTCTATATACTTGATAATAAATATGTCAAATGTGCTTTTTAAATCTCTGAGATTATTA